CACGGGTCCGGATTTTGGGGGACGCTGTTGGGGTCTCTGCAGGTGGAGCCGCAGGCGACCATCGCTGAGATCAAGAATCTGTTCACCAAAACACGTATGGACGGGGGGGGGGGGGGAACAGGGGGGGCTGTTAGCGCTTTGGGGATAATCGGAGGGGGGGTGGGGACCCCTGTGCTGTTTGGGGTCACTGCTTGGGGAACACAGTTGGCAGCTGGGGACACTGTGTGTCACTTGGGGACCTCTGTGGCGTTAGGGGACACCCACACTGGGGCTCGGGGGGATCCCTGTGGCATTTGGGGACACTCCTGGGGACCCCATGACATCTGGGTACAGTCCTTGGGGACCCCCCTCTGGCAGCTGGGGACACTCTTTAGGGTCCTGGGGACCCCTGTGGCACTTGGGGACAATCTTTGGGGACCCCTGTGGCATTTGGGGACACTCTGTGGGTCTCTGGGGTGGTTGGAGACACTCTTTGCGGACTCCTGTGACATTTGGGGACACCTTTTGGGGACACCCCATGTTGGGAGAGGGAACGACGACCACGGTGTCCCTTTGGGGAGGACCTTCCTGTCCCCACGTGTCACCGCTGTCCCCTTGCAGACCCACAGTGGTACCCAGCCCGGCAGTCACTGCGCCTGGACCCCAGTGAGTGCCCCGCATCCCCTCCATGTCACCATTGTCACCGTGTCCCCTCATTGTCACTGCTTCCTCTGCATCCCCATGGTGTCACTGCTGCCCCCCTGCCCCTTCCCCATGTCCCCGTGGTGTCACCGCTGCCCCCCTGCCCCTTCCCCATGTCCCCATGGTGTCACTGCTGCCCCCCTACCCCTACCCCATGTCCCCATGGTGTCACTGCTGCCTTCCTGCCCCATCCCCATGTCCCCATGGTGTCACAGCGCCCTCCCTGCCCCCCCCCCACGACCGCACAGTGTCCCTGCTGTCCCCATGTCCCCCCCTCCACAGTGTCCCCACTGTCCCCATGCCCCCCCTCGGTGTCCCCGCTGTCCCCCCATCCCCGCTGTCCCCACAGAGGGCCGCTCTCTGAAGGACGAGGACGTTCTGCAGTCTCTGCCCGTGGGCACCACTGCCACCTTCTACTTCCGGGACCTGGGGGCGCAGATCAGCTGGGTGACGGTGAGCGGCTGTCTGTCCCCAAGCGTCCCTCTGTCCTTCCGTCTCTCTCTGTCCATCTCGCGTCCTTGCGCCCCTCTGTCCGTCCCGTGTCACCCGTCCATCCCACGCTCTTCTGTCTCTCAGTGTGGATTTCTGTCTGTCTGTCCGTCCCATGTCCTGCCCTTCGTTCTGTCCATCAGCGTGGCCTTCTGTTCCTCTGTCCATCCCTTCGTCCATCCCTCTGTCCATCTCTGTGTTGGTCTGTCTGTCCCATGTCCTTACCCTCTGTCCATCCCACGTTACCCTGTCCTTTTGTCTGTCCCTTTGTCCATCTCTGCATCCATCTCATGTCCCCTCACCATCCCACGTTCTTCTGGCCCTCGCTGTGGTCCTCTGTCCCTCTGTCCATCCCTTCATCCATCCTTCTGTCCGTCCCACATCCCTCTGTCTTTCTGTCCATCGATGTGATTTCCTGTCTCTGTCCCTTCCTCCGTCCACCCCACGTTTCTCTCTGTCCATCCCACGTCCTTCTGTCCGTCTCTCTGTCCTTCCATCCACTGCTCTCTCCATCCCACGTCCTTCAATCCCTGTCTGTCCCTCTGTCCATCCCACGTCCCTCTGTCTGTGCCTCCCTCCACCTCCCTCTGTCCGTCCCCAACTCCCTCTGCCCCCCGTCCCTCTGTCCCTCCCTACATCCGTCTCCATGTCCCCTGCCCCCCCCCCACCCCCACCCTGTCTGTCTGTCCGTCCTCAGGTGTTCCTGACGGAGTACGCCGGCCCTCTGCTCATCTACCTGCTCTTCTACTTCCGTGTCCCCTTCCTCTACGGCCCCCGCTATGACTTCACCGCCAGCCGGCACGCCGTCGTGCAGTGCGTGAGGGGGTGCTGGGGGGTCCTGGGGGGTCCTTGAGGAGGCCTGGGGGGCTATAAAGCATCCTGGAGGGGGGCGGTGGGTCTCACTGGATGGGTTTGGGAGGTTAAAGGGGTCCCTTGGGGAGGAAAGGGGTCCTGGGGGTGTCCTGAGGGTCCTGAGGAGGTTGAAGTGGGGACCCCACAGGAAGGGGTTCCAGGGGAGTCTTGGGGGGTTCTGGGATGGTCCCTGAGGTGGTCTGGGGGGGGAATAAAGGGGTCCTATGGGTCCTGGAGGGCACACTGGATGGGTTTGGGAGATCTGAAGGGGTCCCTGGGGGAGGAAAGGAGTCCTGGGGGTGTCCTGAGGGTCCTGGGGAGGTGGAAGGGGATTGCA